AAGGCCAAACCAATACAAAGGGATTTTGTTGGGGAGTCACCAATCAAAACAAACCGGGCGGCACCCTCTGAACCCACAAAGTCATGGCTCAAACCCACCAAAACTGGCGTGGTTTCTTTTTTGGTACGGGCTTAGAGGAGCCCAGAATCCACAGAACAAGTGGGGCCTTGAAGCGAAATCCTGGCAGAAAACTGCCACAGCCTCATGCAGTTGCTGGATATGACCGCTGTGGCTCGAACACTGGTAGAACCAACCCATCGCTATGCCCCAACCCACTTTGTAGAACAAACACAGCAACAAAACTGCGGTCCCCTGGTCCTTAATTTTGAGCCACACCCCTGTACCGGAGTCGGAAGCAAAACTTGGAATTAACATGGGAGACGGGTACCCGCAAAGAACTAGGGCAGATATCCGCACTTATGTCCGGGAACCCAGGACTGACCACATAAGCACAAGAAGACAAACATTGGTCGGGGAAAGACACACACATTGTTCAAAGCGTCAAACGTTTGGGGTCCAACTTTTAATGGTCCATCCAGCCCCCATTTTGCCTCATTCCTTCTTATTTACTCCTTGGCACCCCTCAAGGTACGCCCGGTTTTGGATCCAAACCTTTGATCTTGGGAACTCTGGCCCGTTGTTTTGCCGTTCTCAAAGTCACCCGCTTGGTGGTAGGTTAACCCCCGTTTGCTGACTTTGATAATTAACCCCAAGAAGCAGCCAAAATACTGACCCCAGGCACTGCACCCTGGCTCTCAACAGGCGAAAGGTAGGGCTCTGTCGCTCATCCAGGCGACGGCCCGTCCTATGGAGAAACTCCCATTGTGGGAATGGCACAGCTGCCCCAAAGACGGCTTGAACAAAACGACTAGTCTCAGTTGCCCAAATTACAGTAACCTTTTGATTGGAACCTCTCAAAGTGGACCAAATCAGAGAAACCAAAAGGTTAAACAACCGCTTTGGGAAAGCGAGTAGGACCTGGACCAGCAAAATACCCTTAAAAAACGGAACTTAAGCGTATCTTGAGGGTCCAGGAAGTGATACTGTCCCCTGCTAACTGAGTCTTGGGCTTCTAAGTTGGCACCTCGGTATTTGACTAAACCCTCCCCATCCGCCCTACCCGCGGCCTCCAAACACATGCATGGGCTTTCCTTTGAGACACCGTTTGAAAACCAAACTTGTGCGATGCTGAGGCGCCCTGAGGTTTTCTTGAACACTTCGGCGTGCTTTTGGGGATTTAAGATTTAAGGGAAGGGGGGGACAACCAATCACAACGCTTAGGGTATCTCAATTTCTTGCTGGTTAGCAATTCTCTGGCCGATCAGCCCGCGCACGGTCTCCTTTGCGCCGTACAGTTCTTGCTGTTTCTTCACCTGCGCAAGAGTAGATCTTTTTTGACAGGTTAGAACAACACGTGTTAGCCCACACTGAATCTGACTGATCCTACAAGCGACTCCTAAAACATGAATGTAAGAACCTGGGGGCCTTTTGCAGCCGGATGCACTCAACACCCTCGAAGCTGCTTCCTCGCCCCAACCTGGTCGCTGTCTTCCTAAGGAGCCGGGCTTGACAACATGTTTAGGCCACGCGGCCCCACTCGACTTGTTGAATCGCTGCAAACGTTCCTTGGCAACAGCGCTTGGTCCAAATCGCAAAGTAACACACATTCCATAAAGGTTGTAGGTCCAACCAAGTCAAATCTGAAAGGGAAATGGTTCTCCCAGACACGGGGACGGCTGCCGTTTATCACGGCCCAAAAGCGGCAGCTCCAAGACAGGCTCAAAGGCTTGGGCTGTAGAAGCCATGGTTCTTTGGACCAGTGGCCGACCGACTGATTCATCAGACTACTAACCCCCCCCCCTCCCCACAAGAAGGTCGAGAAGGTCCAAATCTCCAAAAATATGTTCTGGGACTGAAATAATCTGAGCGGTCTATTGTATTGGGCAACATTCCATTTGATTTAGCATTGATGGAGCTTCCTTTCTGAGATGTTGATTTGAGTATCCACTTGATTAGTACTGTACCATTTCACTTGCCATTTGATCTTTCTGTTGAATTTGTTTCGGGCTTCCATTTGTTTGACTCAGTCTTGTTGGATTTGAGCTTGCCCTTCGGTTTAGTATTGCTGGAGCATAAAAGCGGGTGCGGCCTAAATGGCCCAAATTGATACCATGGGAAGCCACAGAATTTGTATGGGCTGGGCCTTCATGTGGGATAGGTATCTCATGTGATCTTGCCAAACCATGACTTTTTGAAAGGGATTTAATAAAGTATTTGCACTTTCGGAAAGGGCTGTTCTAGTGCAAAGCTGGCAGATTTCTTTGCTGTTGCATTCCAAAGCAAATGGAGGGTACAGCAGAATGAGCATGGAAACAAGGCAGCAGCTGCATCACCAGGGGGAGTTGAACTTTTTCTTTGCGCTTGGGCCTCCGTATTGTTTGGCTTTTCTGTGGGGTCCTGTCAGATAACGTTTTTGGGGAAAAACAACCAAAAACGTAATGCATTACAGTGTCAAATTGTTTCGTATTGGGTTGTCATGTGGGGTTGCACTATTGCCATTACTTGGCTAATCCCAAGTTGACATTACCCACCAAGAGAGCTCGAAATGAAGGGTTTATCTTTGATACCTCATCTTTTCTCCATCAAAAGTGATATGAGCAGTGCACCCATGGTCTCTTGGTTCTATCCGCATGTTACTCTTGAAACATGGTAGTAAAACCAACCATCTATTAAAGCCGGCAATGCAGTTTCGGGTCGCTGATCATCCTATGCCTGATGCTCCAGGTTTGGAGAACCTTTCAATGTAAAACACCGAAACCCACGAAATCACTCAAGTTTTTCAATGTTGACTAAGCCCGGACAAAAAAACATCGGCTATGGCTCCGGTCCGGTGTCTAGGACTCTGGACACCCAAGGTTCTGAGCCGGGCCTTGGAGTCCCCGAAAAAGCATGGTCCGAGGGGGACGAGAGGAAACGGCTGCCTGGACCCTCCAGATACCCCAAAATCGGTGATTGCCCCTTGGGTGCTATACCCTAAAATTGGGGATTGCCCCAAAGTTGTGGGGGGAAAATCATTTTTTCAGGGGAGTTTGAGGGTCTGGGTACCCTTCGGTACCAAGAAGCCAAAAAGGGCCTTATGGAGGTCTGTTTCCCTCTCCAACGGGTGTCTGACGCTTAGGGTTGGTCATCGTTTCCTCCATGTGCGTAAGTCCCCTGGACAGAAAACATTTATTTTTGTAGTGATAGATTCCCCCCCCCAAAAAAAAACAGGGAAAGTGACACCTATGCTCAAGCAAATGGAAGGTGTTAGGCTCGGAGCATCCCAGTCTTGTCTTTGACAAATCAATTTCATGGCTGGACCGCGCCTCTTCGATCTCTGCTTCGAGCTTGCTCTTGTGATTCCTCGCTTTCCGAGTAGAACCAAGAGGCGGTTGGAACCCCCTTGAGGTTGGACACCCCTTTGATGGGAACTTAACCAACATACTGAAGGAACAGGGTACCCTGGCGGAAACAAAAATGGAACCCCTTGGCTGGTTGACCACTCGTTGTGGGGGAGCCATTCTGGCTGCAAGTTTGTTGACACATGGCACAGGTTTCATGGGACACAAATGGATGGAAACTTGGTTCGAGCGGCAAAACAAGTTCTGTCGCGCGCTTGCGGTCCGCAAATGCTCCACAAGTCAAATTCGGGCACCTGGAACTACTTTCTTGCCGCTTTTTTGCAACCACGGGCGCATGACAAAAACAAGATGCCTGGGGCATCGGTTCTCAAGCTCCGCCTTCCTAAGTGTATCCATCTCGCTTTGATCTTGCTCTGGGTGTGTTGATAGTGTTGGATCTCGCTCTGGGTGTGTTGATAGTGTTGGTTTTTCGGCCCGTGCCGGGGTGGCTTGTTGGCCAAACCACACGAGAAATCAGTCTTGGACCCACACAAATGTATGTTGAAGGTCTCCGGTCCCTCGAAAGAGATTTCGAACCATGCCCAAAAGTCAGCCTTGGCCCGAGCCCTCGAGTGTGTTGCGCAATTTTCATCCGTGGTAGAACAAACATGTGCTTTCCGGGGTGTCACTTGTCAAGGGACCGGACGACAAGAAACGATGCTGCCAAAATACAGTTTGTGCGCCTCCAAATCTGATTTCTGCAAATATGTTAGCTTCCAAACAGCCTGCCAGCCCAAAAGCGACCCTGCTTTTAAGCTACCAATGAACTTCATTAGGGTTCCTAGAAGGGTATGTTCCATGTTCCGCTAAAAGGGCCTTCTGGTCGGGTACCTCCCAGCTAAAATGAATAATCTGGCTGGGGCACGGACCGAGCACGTCATTCTGCCAGTTGGAACAACTACTAGCACCAAGACAAAACAGCGATCAAAAGACAAAACCTCAGACCCTCCGCAACACAACAAGCACACCAGCTAAACAACAACAACCAAGTAACCTACAAACCTACAAACCTACAAACCTACCAACAAGCAACTCCATGAACCTTGACAATCGAAAGCTGCTGCTTTCATCGGTTGGGTTCCGGGCTTGGAGCGATTCCGCAGTCTCTCGTGGAGCTCCTCGAGTCAGTCAAACCCCCAGAGAGAAGACGGGAATTGGACCAAAGGGTTTGGCGCAGTTCGGCACGGGTGTCTTTTTGCCATCTTTTGTGAGAAAATGGGCGAGCCCCTCCAAAAGCAATCCATCACTACCAGGGAGTCGATCATTTCCTTATGAAAGACAGCAAAAAGACCCCCTTGCATTTGGGGGTGGTGCGTTGGTGGCAGGAGAAATTGTGTTGCAAACATGTCTTCCTTTTTTTGGGGGGGGGGGGAATGGCCCCTGGCGTCGTCCCTGATACAGGGTTCTTGACTGTCTCAGGGATCTGTCGCAAAAGGAGCTGCAAAGCTTGTGACCAAATAAGGCCTGCCTTTGCTTGCAAACGTGAATTTCAGATTGTCAACACGGCAACATGTGTCCTTTTAGCCACCCTTAGCAGGGAAGCAATACATTCTCCACGTGTTAACGATACATCTGACCAAACGTGCCATAAATTCCCCGGAAGGAATTCCCCAAGGCGACCTTCATGAGGCATCGCTCGTTTCCGGTCGAGAAGAATCGCTGGAACTCGTGGAGGATTAGCCATCCACGAGCATGGAATCTCATGGGAGGGACCATGGAAGAAAATTGCGCCCCTGGTAGGTTCCATGGCAACGTGGGCCGGACCCTCTCATGGAAATCATCCTGGTGGTCCCCTTGGGGTTCTCAACGTCTCGGAATTCAATTTTGGAAGGACAGAAAGGGCTCCAAAGAAAGCTCGATTTTGACACCTCGGAAAACCTTTATTACAAGTAGGGGGGTTGGGGGCGCCCCACGAGGCTCAGTTTCCCAATTTTGAGCCAAACCCATTCCTTCGAGGCAGGCCACTATGGATAACCTGGTTGTGCACGATGGTTTAAAGTTGTGGGGAATATTCCTGTCTGTGATGTGAAAGTGGGTCATCTCCATGACTACTTGAAAGGGGATTTCCTTGGTATCACAGGAAAAACAGGCCTTCACCAAGCCTGATCTTCCACCAGGACTGAATGGTAGCAACCAAAACGCTGGCTCCACTGGACCACTGTTGGGTCCTCGCCCACTCTCCGCCTCAGCCTCACGCCTCGCGCCTCGCGCGTCACCTCGTCACCGCGTCCGCCACCCCCCCCCCCCGCCCCAAGCCGCGCCTTCTCCGCATGGATCTTCTTGGCGCGCTCCTCTCGCATGGCTGCGGCCCTTTTGGTCACCTCAGCGACTCAGCGCGCCGCTTGGGACCGATCCGAGATCGCCAGGTCCCAAATGGGCGGGGGCGTGTTTTTAGGGGACCCGGGACCCCAACCGTCCTCTTGGTTTACCTTTAACACCTGGGTCGCTGCAATACTAGTCCTCTACTAGCTTTTTCTTAACGGAACTCAAATGGTGTTGTTGGTTTCCCTTCAATGAATCAAACTAACCCAATGAATCCAGACAAGCCACTATAGGTAGTCAGGTATGTTTACTTACCATAGGTGACCAGGTATGTTTACCTCAAGGTGTTACATGATGGTTTCCCAGTACCTCAAAACCGGGCTGTCCTCAGATCCCCTCAAAAGCCTAACTTTTAGTGGGATAAATGGAGCCCAACCAACCAAAAAGCCCAAAACGCGCTAAGGAACCGGGTGGCTGGGGAACCCCAAGAAAGAAACCCCTCACTGTTTGGAGGCAAAGGTCCCGGCGGTCGCCCGCTGGGAGGCGTTCAGCTTCTCCTCCAACTGGTCCGCCTCCTGATTTGGACTCTCAGCCCCTCACGTCCTAAGTTCATTGGCGCCAAATCTGAACTTTTGGTTCATGAAAAATTGACGTTCCAACAAGTAAACGTCCAGCTGTAATCCGCGAAACTTGGGAGTCTTCTCCCCATAAAAGAATGTTGGATCTTGTTGGTTTCAAAGGAAGCCAAGCAGTGTGCGCGTCGTGCGCGCGTCATGTGTGACGTTTTCCCAAACGTTGCAACAGCTATGGGACCCGTCCGGCCCTGGCTTTGACAGGGCCGCAGCGTCCATGTGTCGGGTCAACAAGCCATCCGGCCAGCCAGCCATCCATCCAACCAGCCATCCATCCGGCCAGCCAGCCAGCCAGCCAACCAGCCAGCCATCCATCCATCTTCGCCACGCATCTCGCGCATCATGAGCCCATCCCGCGAGGCCGGGGCGCGGAGCAAGAGAATATGCCGAATACAATTGCAATAGACAAAACTATATCCATTTTCAATACTATTTCAAATCGCTATCACATCTCACGTGTGTAATATATAGTGATGTCGGATGTGTGTGACATGAGTTTTCATATATTCTCTAAGTTCCATTTCCAAAGAGTTATGAGTTTCTATTTTACTTGTCCAGACAACGTGTAGATCTTGTTTGAAATTAAACATTAGCACTTATCAAAAAGGTATATTAGTCTAACATCTACATATATATATATAGTTTGGAAAATACGAACCAACCTGAAAATCCATGATCAGATCCCTATTGGTATGATTTTATATAATTTAGTAAGCTCGCGATTGCGCCAATAAAAATACGCTGGGTAAAATTACAAATAAGAAAATAGATAACAACAAAGCCAAGAATAAGGATTTCATGTTCCAACTCCTTGGCGGGAAAGTCAGCGCAGTTCGCGATAGGCTCGCAAAACTAGCCCAGTGTCTGGCATGGAAGTCAAAGGATTTGCTCGAGCAAGAAAGTTCCAAAGAAACTTGCGCCAGCCCTCTTGAGAAAGGCGCGAAACAAACTTTCATTATCCCCCTCTTCGACTTCCACGGCTAAGGTGGATAAGTCTTTGGCCAGCTTTGATGGGCGAGTTGCAGAAAGCACTGACAAAGACAAATCGCAATTCCTCAGCTAATGCGCTTGAAACTCGCCCACGCCCGCACTGTCTTGCCTGTTCCCTCTCTAGCGAGACAGTCAAACACACAGCTTCGCTGAGTCGAGATGTTGACACTGAACTGATCAAAAACATTTAGAACACCGACAATCCACAAAACTCAAAAGGCTGAAGCCTGCCAGATCAGGACGAAATGGTTTCTTGAGATCTCAATCTCTAGACCTGAAGCACCCGAAGGTACAATGTGGAAAACGATGGCAACGAAACCAGAGCCTCCCGTTTTGGGTGACCTGCCACCTGCATTCACTCTTGCTGGCACCTGCCCCAATTCTTCAGCTGTGGCAGGAGCTCTTGGGCTGGCGGAAAGACGAGCAACTGACACAGCTTCTGAGCTGGCTCCACTTCCCAAGGCCCCTCCAGCAGTCTGCACATCGTCCAAAGGAACGGGTCGAACTCCACTGCCTTCCAGAGCCACTTGAGGGCTGTCCTTCTTGAAGCTCCCTGTGAACAGCGCTTTTGACTTCTTTGGCCAGAGCCTGATCAAACTTGGTTTGAGCCTCCAGCTCTTCATGCTTCCGCTTTTTGAGCTGGCTGCGTTCTGTGGCCTCTTGCGCCTCCAGCACCCTTAAGCCCACAGCCCCGCAGCCCAACAGCCCCCCCAAGCAACAACCCAGCAACCCAACAGCCCAACAACCAACAGCCCAACAACCAACAGCCCAACAGCCCAACAACCCCACAGCCCAGCAACCCAACAACCAACAGCCCAAGCAACAGCCCAGCAACCCAACAGCCCAACAACCAACAGCCCAACAGCCCAACAAGCCCACAGCCCAACAGCCCAACAGCCCCACAGCCCAGCAACCCAACCAACAATCCAACAGCCCAACAACCCCACAGCCCAGCAACCCAACAACCAACAGCCCAAGCAACAGCACAGCAACCCAACAGCCCAACAACCAACAGCCCAACAGCCCAACAAGCCCACAGCCCAACAGCCCAACAGCCCCACAGCCCAGCAACCCAACCAACAAACCAACAGCCCAACAACCCCACAGCCCAGCAACCCAACAACCAACAGCCCAAGCAACAGCCCAGCAACCCAACAGCCCAACAACCGACAGCCCGACAGCCCAACAAGCCCACAGCCCAACAGCCCAACAGCCCCACAGCCCAGCAACCCAACAGCCAACAGCCCAAGCAACAGCCCAGCAACCCAACAGCCCAACAGCCAACAGCCCAACAAGCCCACAGCCCAACAGCCCAACAGCCCCACAGCCCAGCAACCCAGCAACCAACAGCCCAAGCAACAGCCCAGCAACCTAACAGCCCCAACAACCAACAGCCCAACAAGCCCACAGCCCAACAACCCAACAGCCCCACAGCCCAGAAACCCAACAACCAACAGCCCAAGCAACAACCCAGCAACCCAACAGCCCAACAGCCCAACAACCCCACAGCCCAGCAACCCAACAGCCCAACAACCAACAGCCCAATTCAATCCTCTGTTCCCTCTGTTCCCTCTGTTCTGCTCAATCCTCTGTTCCCTCTGTTCCCTCTGTTCTGCTCAATCCTCTGTTCGCTCTGTTCCCTTTGCTCTGTTCAATCCTCTGTTCCCTCTGCTTTGTGCAATCCTCTGTTCCCTCTGTTCTGATCAATCCTCTGTTCCCTCTGTTCCTTCTGTTCTGTTCAATCCTCTGTTTCCTCTGTTCCCTTTGTTCTCAATCCTCTGTTCCCTCTGTTCCCTCTGTTCCCTCTGTTCCCTCTATTCCCTCTGTTCTGTTCAATCCTCTGTTCCCTCTGTTTTGTTCGATCCTCTGTTTCCTCTTTTTCCTCTGTTCTACTCAATCCTTTGTTCCCTCTGTTCCCTTTAGTCTGTTCAATCCTTTGTTTCCTCTGTCCTCTTTGTTCTGTTCAATTGTCTGTTCCCTCTGCTCCCTCTGCTCTGCTCAATCCTCTGTTCCCTCTGCCCCCTCTGTTTTGTTCAATCTTCTGTTCCCTCTGCCCCCTCTGTTCTGCTCAACCCTCTGTTCCCTCTGTTCCCTCTGTTCTGTTCAATCCTCTGTTCCCTCTGTTCCCTCTGTTCTGTTCAATCCTCTGTTCCCTTTGTTCCCCCTGTTCTGTTCAATCCTCTGTTCCATATTTTCCTTCTGTTCTGTTCAACAATGGGTAGTTTCAGGGCTAAGTTGGGAACATCGCGTCGGGAAGCCACTCCAAAGTTGTGGCACGTCTGAGAGGATATGCAACGTAGTTTTCCTGCATGAAGGTTCTTGTCCTTTCTTGGCCATCAACGCTAAATCGTCGATGGAGACCCCCAAAAGGTCTCCGGTCCCGTAGGTGAATTGTATACAATGGACGAAGTTGTCCACATGAATCGCATCTGGCAACATCTCAGCCAACTATGGGAAACCTATGAAAGGCTCTTTGTTTCAAATTCACCAAACACGAAAACCGTCTCAGAAAAATTGCAATTCCGAAGCCAACAAAGGGATCCTGGGGAGCCGTCTGGATCGGGTGGCAAACCATCCCCAACATTTGGTCCGATTCGGATGGCAGCCCTGTGCCGGTGTCGAAAGGGTCCAGATGGTATATGGTTTAAGGTAAGCCATAGGATCATAGGAATATGTTTAAAAGTGAGTATCATGACAGTTCATCCTAGACAAGTAGCCTTTGGGCTGAACGAATTGGATGCAAATTCCAGAATAGAGCAAAGCGCAAGGCACGTGGAACAATTAGATCATGTTCCCCAAACACGGCAAGTCTTCCCCAACTTTGGCTTGTTCGCACACTCCCTGTTGTTGGAAGCCTCCACTAAACAGAACCCAACAAATCAAACATGAATTGCTAAAACTCCCCCCACACAAAATGGACGAGCCTACATCTGGAAGCCCATCCCTCTACAGGGGGTCATAAAATGTCCCACCCGGGCATTGCACGATTTCAGTTTGAGCCCTTCTCAATGAATCCTTCAGAAAGCAAACACATGTTTGTCAACCCATTTGGCTGGGTTGTCTCATATCCAGGCCCAGCCCCTGCTTTGAGGTTTGGCCCCTGAAAATAGGGAGCACCCCAAAAGATTTGATTCCTTTTGGTTTCCCTTTAACCAGCTCCAAACTGGTATCCGCAACGAACAACACACACACAAAAAGAAAAAAACGGGTCGGGGAAGCATTGACCACATGAAACAGTTTGCCCAAGTCTTGAGCCACCCTTACTCACAAGGAATAGAAGAAAAACGCATGAGCAGCCTCAACCAAAATGGTTCTAAAAGTTCATACGACATATGATGAGCGCGATTATGGTGCCCATTTCAACAAGTAGTAGAGCCACCCACTAAAATGGCCAGTAGAGGGGGTTTCTGATTCTGGGTGCTGCTTCAAAGCACAAGATACGATTGACATTATCTTCCCCAAGTTTGGGTTCTTAGCCGTCTTGGCTTCGGTGTCGCATCCCGGCACAAATTGACATTCGGAAGTTCTACTCTGGGATGACACCAAAGGGTAATTCCAAAAATCGTACAACATTTAAAAACAAATGCGTTCAGTGGAAATAGGTAACAAAAACGTTATGTACTCTTTCCTGGTGGCGCCCTTTGATTTCCAGGCGCAGGAAGCCCCTTTCCAATTGCTTGGTTGTTCAGATTGAAATAGACGGCTCCTCTTCCAGGTTGGCGCGGTTCAGGTGCTGAGCTTCCTTCACCTTCTCCTGAGATTCACGGATACTAGGAACCCCCCCCCCTCCCGCCCCGCAAACCGGATCGCCTAAAATAGATCGAACGACTCCGAGATCCGTGGGACACCGCCTGCCGAATGGAAACAGGACTAAGGACTGATTTGGAACAGCCAACGGCCACACAGTTTGGGGTTGGTGGATGTCCTGGGGGAAGAAGAGCCAGCCCGGTTTTGTTGGCTGATGATTTAACGAAAGGGGTGCCGCTCTCCAAAAACAACAACCAAAAACGCTGCGTGTCTGGGCTCTCTTGGGCCCAGAAACGCCCCGATCCACAGATGTTGGTCGAAAACCGAGAGAGCCTCGGATGTTCTTCCGGATCGGTGCCACGAAAATTGGGCAAGCGCGCACCGAGAACTATACATGGCATTATTGGCTTACTGGTTTCCTGGCGGTGCCATGTTGGATACTTCGCGATCAATCGGTTGGTACTAAAATGTTCCCAAGTGATCCCCTTTTCTGGAAACAAGACAGGCTAGGAAATGCTCTTTTGAATGCCCTGACTTCGTGTCAGGCCACTTGCCTTTACCCCAAAAGCAATCAAAGAACAAACTCAAAATTCAAAAGGGCCTGGATTTTCGAAGGGGTTCGTCTCTTTGTCAGTTGGGGCACTACAGCCTTGAAGAAAGTCACCCGTTTAGTTTGGCCGAGGGATCAACAACATACCCCTCAGCTGAAGCACGCCGCTCGGCGCGGGACGCTTTTCTGAATGGTACTGGACTGAGCAACGTCTGAGCTTCAACGCCAAGCATGCGGAACCGGAGGGACTCCCGGTAACAGTGAGAACGGCACCAGGATACCAAGTATGCGGACAAACTGATGGTCAACAGGCAGTTCAAACATGGTTAAGTGACAGTTGACAAAACATGCTCATTCCGATGTTTCTCAAAACGGGACCAGGGTCCGCCCCACCCTGCGAACCATCCTTCTTCATCATAGGATAATTAGCTGATTTTGCCTCCGAATCGGTGCGCTCGCCATAAAATAGACAGACAGGATGAAGTGACCGGGCCCGGAACGGCCATGCCCCGCTTGCCTGATGCTCATGCCTGGGAGTTGCTGGCTCGGTTGCGAGAATGTGGATCCACAAAAATGACATCTGCAAGGTGCTTGAAAGCGGAACCAAATCCTGGAAGGGGTTTCCCCTTGTAGTGGTACGGATCTAAAGGGCCAACACCCAGAAAGGGTCAACATTAAGTTCTGAGAACCCCTCAAAATGTCAACTTAAGGGTCCCAAACAATGGAGACGCCCAAGTGTCCTGTTGTTGGGAGCACTGGCAAAAAGGTTCAATTACCAACAATTTCAACTGCTTCCATGAACACGAAACGCGGCACCGGAGCTCCTGATCCCATGGCTGAACCACCCAGTTACAAAGTTAGAATCGCTTCATTCAATGGTCGCCTGTTCAAAGAAGGCTACGAACGCTGGGCTAATTCATGTACCAAACAGGGTCACCGAATTTGCTGTCAAAAGCAGAAATTTAAAGGTGGGTTTCACTGAAACTACCTTTGGAGGTCCAGGGCCCGGGTATGGACGATACATTCAGTCTTTGTTCCAAACGGCTGTGCGGTTTACCTATTCGACTGGGGTGTCCGACAGTACAGCACAAACATGGTTTGCCAAAGAGATGTGCTTTGGTTGCCTGATTCCCTTTAAAAGCCCAAAGAAGGGCACCTAAATAACCTCCACCTATTCAGTTGGCATATTTAACAGTCCGGACATTTCACGCATCAAGACGCATTTCCCTGAAAATGCGCCTTTGCTATCAGGTCTGACTTCGTGGAACGCATCAAAGCAGAATGATTGACAGCGGCAAACATGCGAAACTGTCAACAGACCCAGTAGCCCAGTGACCCTCTTCAAAGACGGGGACCCTGTTTTTGGGCGGCCAATTTTCACAGGGGTTCCCCCACCAAAGGGATTGGGGTAGAATCTGGGAGGAGGCATTCTCCCAACTCTGGACACCGACATGTTTTTCTTTTTGTTCACATGCTGCTTCATGTTTGAAGTCTGACCTGTTTGGAGGTCCAGGTAATTTGTTTCTTACCCTACATCTGAGATCCTCATCTCCCATCAAACCTCTCTGGCGCAAGGTCCTGGCTTACAAGCGCCATGGTTGTGAATGCTACAAGACCCAGGAGTCCATTTGAAGAAACCAACAGGGAGTGCTTGAAATACGAGTCGACAAATGCTTGGTGTCCTTTGGGTTTCCCTTTAAAACCAACCAAAAGGGGGTCCGCCAAAAAAGAACATTCCCAAAAGCAGGTTGCTTAAAGCAAAAATAGTTCTAGTTTTAGGGGGCGGCCCAACCTTACGAATTGTCCAAGCAAAACTCACACAGCCTGTTGGGGGAACGCGGAAAGGCACTCGGAGTGCAGAAGGAAGTGGACAGCCAAACCCATACATGAGCCAACCCCAAAGCCGGCTGCAGCCAATGAACGCTAAAAAAAGAAAAAAACACATAAATAATAAAGACAAAACAAATGAACAATCATAAATGAATACAAATAAATATAAACAGTAATAGACACCATGATAAAATAAATAATCATAATACAAATAGTAAGTAGAGTACATAGTTCAACACACAATGTAAACATTCTATATATATATATATATACATATAGAAAGAGTAAACAACTGAAAACTATACAAATAAATAAATTAGAACAAAACATAGAACACAAACTCTATATAAAGCCATGGATGTATGTATGTATGTATATATATATATCAGATAGTTTCTTCTTTGAAATCATGGCAATCGTTGATACACGTGATTTCAAAGGTGATATAATAAGATAACATTTACATCAAACTTGTTAAACTTGGTTGAATTAAAGACAATATTGCACAACCTATGGATGATGCCAATGGCGTTGCCGATAGTAATTTTGAAGATCAACCATGGGATATCCAACCAAGAAGGGAAACGAGCACCACAGGCGCCACACGTGTCGCACCTGCCTCCCCCCCCCCGCTCCCGGTCCCGGGCGGAAAATCGATCGAGCCCCAGGCTTGAAGCTAATCGCCTCGCCCTTCTCCGTGAGCACCGGGATGCACGAGCCTCGGGGTTCCCGAGCCGAGCAACTGTGCGTGACTATGTCTTCACGCTCCCTCCCACGCAGCACCCACTGTGTATCACAGAAGTGGGGTGAAAACCCCTTGTTCCCACAGCCCTGGTTTTGACACTTTGGAGTTTGGACATGGGGTTGCTGCCGGGAACCAGCTCCAAACGGAAAGTCACCGTCTGAAAGGCGTCTGTGGTTTTGCTTCCATCTGATGCTGGCTAGGCCCTGGCCTGCTTTAGTATCACTCAAAAACAATGCGTTCCACGTCATGCAAACATGACATGAACATCACGAGCCCCCAAATCGGTCACAAACCATGAATCCTGAGAGAGATCCATTGAATGCCCCCCTTAAACCCTGCCTGAGCACCAAACAACACGGAAAGGCGGATAGCTCTTCGGCTTGACCTGAAATGTTTGGTACTGGTAGACCTATAGATAGACTTGCACTTGTCCAAGGTCACACTAAAAATACAAAAATGTGATTACCGGTCATAACTATAACCATTTCCCTTGCAAGGAGACTAGACTCAAACAAAAACAACGAGATGTTACCATGGTATCAACAAAGAAGGGGCTTGCTCCATTCTCAGGGATAAAAAAACAATGATTCGCCCAAACAAAGCGGGTCAGATCAAGCGGAGTGTCCTCAAATCCGACTTCCCTGAACTGATACCACGCCTCTGAACATTCGTGGAACTGGGTTTCGGGGACTTCCCACAAGGAAAACAGTCTGAAACCCTCCAATCGCCAGCTTCCATCGGAGAGAGCGTGCTCCTTGAGCCTAGGGAAGCTGGAGCTAGACGGTTCACTTGGCTAACCTTCTAGAACCTTGACGAAATAGACCGAGTCAGTGAAACCAAAAGATCAAACCGTCTGCTTTGGGCAAGCCAGGGAACCCCCGACAAAGGAAAAAACGCGGAAACTTCGCGCCTGAAGCATGTGTAAATCCCCTCACCGGCGATCATTTGTGCGCTCTGGGTATTACCTTAAGGGAAACCATGGATATGAGTTTCGTTTTGGCCACCCTTCATGGATGTGCACCTCCTCAACATAAAGGCTCCACCCTGCAGGTTTTCCCATGAAACCTGACAAAGCATTTGACACCCCCTTCGGTTCCGAATTTATTGGCACCTTTGGATAAATAAACCCGCCGTTCATTTTGATCGGGGGTGTCCCCTATTTAGTAGGGGGTTCAGACCACTTTCGGAGGAAACTATGAATAGGACGGGTTCTACCTAGATCAGGGCTCAACTGCAGTTTGCAGAGAAGTAACTAAACAGTTTATCGCTTTTGAAGGGAACACCCCTACCAGTCTGAATAAGATTGGTTTACTCATCCGGGTTCCATATGCCTGTGTCCATCCTCAGGCACCGGCGCACGTGGCTCGTCAGCGCATCACTGGCCACCTGCGCTCCCCCCCCCAAAAAATGACCCCAAGGCTTAAGCCAAGAAACGGTGGGGGTGGAGGTCTCTAGGATTCCAGGTAGCTTGGGGTCCAGTCTGCGTGCTGCGTACTTCTTTGTTGTTTTTGCTTTGGGTCGGTGGGAGTCTGTGCGTGTGTGTTTTTGGTCGGGGTTCCAGGTAATTTGTAGGATGTCGGTTCATCACTGGTATGTCAAGTCCAGCTCAGGCACGGCCCGTTCAAAGGCCGTGGAAATTCGACACCGGACAAATCCAACTTGTTTGCGCTCTGCAAATGTGTGTCACGGTTGAGCTGATCCGGATCCCAGTTCCAAGCGTGCCAAAAGAAGTCCGGTGACGCCTGCTTTTGCTTTGGCATGTCTGTTGAGAGGAACATGAAGACTGAGGGGGTTCCTATGATTTAGAACCTTACAGAACAAATCCTGGTTACTTGCTGCTGCTGTAGTAGACAGTACGCATGAGCGTAACACATTGACATGTATGTCGCGGAGTCTAGCTTCGATCACCAAACCAGACATTCTCCTTTGTGGATCTAGCTACGCTTTCTGCATTTGGTAACTACGCAATAATATATCGTTTCGGAATAGTTGATCGATCATGACCCTGGTTTGCTCGAACTCTCCAAAGATTCTGCTAGCAAAACGTGCACTCATCTGGGAATTACTCTCTTGCCCAAATGGTGCTTTTCTCAAAATAGGGATCCATAGCATGGCTGTCTTCCATTTGGTTTCCCTTAATTGTCCACGATTTTGTGAAACTCCAAATGACCGAGCACGAATGCTGACCTTGTGTGACTAACATGGACGAATCACCACGACCGGCAAACTCTTTGGTTTGCGACTAGACAATTGGCTCCCTACATGCAAGTGAACCAACTGCATCAGCCACGAATCGTGGAAGTGGAGAAGGGGCCTTTCCAGAGGTAGTCTTCCGAAGCCCCGGTCCAGTTTCGCACATCTAACATAAGTTCACGAGGCTGAAGCGACCCCAGCATCCAAACCCTTCAGGGCTCGTTTTGCCTTAGGTGAGGAGGAGGTACATTAGTAAACCATTCGACCGCCCTTGGAAGGTTCGACATGAACGCAAAAAGGGTTCAACATGAATCTTCTTGAAAGGTTTTTTGGGAACCTCCTGATATATAGTTTAAACACTTTGATAGCGTCAACTTTGGATCGGTCTGAAGGAACCATTCATCAGGGGTGTCCATTCAAATGGATCAATATCTGCTGACAAAGCGGAGTCTTGCTTCAAGAACGTGCCCACTAAAGTTCATCAACATAGTCGGCAAGATTCTTCAAATGGGCGGGATAAGTCTCGTTTCCCAGATATGGCACCAAATATGGAGAGAGCAACCGGGACAAAACAAACACATCTCACTCAAGACAACTCAGGTAAAGACGGATCGTTTTGAAGAGTAGCCGTGGGCCGTTTCTCAGCATTTTTGTTCAGGGCCACATTTCCCTTGTGATGAAAAGCAGACTCACTTGTGGCCTATCTCAATTTGGGGACCTCCTAAATTGCTGGTGTTCTGTTTGATGTTCCATTAAAAACGGCCCAAAAAGGGTACCCTCAAAAACACAACATCTATGCGTATACGTATGTACATACATACATACATACATACATACATACATACATACATACATACATACATACATACATACATACATACATACATACATACATACATACATACATACATACATACATACATACATACATACATACATACATACATACATACATACATACATACATACATACATACATACATACATACATACATACATACATACATACATACATACATACATACATACATACATACATACATACATACATACATACATACATACATACATACATACATACATACATACATACATACATACATACATACATACATACATACATACATACATACATACATACATTACATACATACATACATACATACATACATACATACATACATTACATACATACATACATACATACATACATACATACATACATACATACATACATACATACATACATACATACATACATACATACATACATACATACATACATACATACATACATACATACATACATACATACATACATACATACATACATACATACATACATACATACATACATACATACATACATACATACATACATACATACATACATACATACATACATACATACATACATACATACATACATACATACATACATACATACATACATACATACATACATACACATACATACATACATACATACATACATACATACATACATACATACATACATACATACATACATACATACATACATACATACATACATACATACATACATACATACATACATACATACATACATACATACATACATACATACATACATACATACATACATACATACATACATACATACATACATACATACATACATACATACATACATACATACATACATACATACATTACATACATACATACATACATACATACATACATACATACATACATACATACATACATACATACATACATACATACATACATACATACATACATACATACATACATACATACATACATACATACATACATACATACATACATACATACATACATACATACATACATACATACATACATACATACATACATACATACATACATACATACATACATACATTACATACATACATACATACATTACATACATACATACATACATACATACATACATACATACATACATACATACATACATACATACATACATACATACATACATACATACATACATACATACATACATACATACATACATACATACATACATACATACATACATACATACATACATACATACATACATACATACATACATACATACATACATACATACATACATACATACATACATACATACATACATACATACATACATACATACATACATACATACATACATACATACATACATACATACATACATACATACATACATACATACATACATACATACATACATACATACATACATACATACATACATACATACATACATACATACATACATACATACATACATACATACATACATACATACATACATACATACATACATACATACATACATACATACATACATACATACATACATACATACATACATACATACATACATACATACATACATACATACATACATACATACATACATACATACATACATACATACATACATACATACATACATTACATACATACATACATACATACATACATACATACATACATACATACATACATACATACATACATACATACATACATACATACATACATACATACATACATACATACATACATACATACATACATACATACATACATACATACATACATACATACATACATACATACATACATACATACATACATACATACATACATACATACATACATACATACATACATACATACATACATACATACATACATACATACATACATACATACATACATACATACATACATACATACATACATACATACATACATACATACATACATACATACATACATACATACATACATACATACATACATACATACATACATACATACATACATACATACATACATACATATATATATATACATATATATATATATATATAACTACAATACAGAAATGTATAGCCCCATTGTGGCGGACCAGTGGCACTGCTTTTCGAGATTCATTCCTTGGGCCCCTTGCCAGCACCCAGCTGGGAATCGGGGGCTCCAATGTGACCTGGTCCGGACGGATGGTGTCAGGGAAAGCAAAAAGGGAATCCGCGGAAGCGAGCTTCCCTTGTGGCTTCCCTTGAAAGTTGTTTGGTTTCGTATTTTCCCTATGAACCTGGTGTTCACCCCCGAACAAACGACTCCTGGTTGATTGTGGTCGGGAGTGTCCAGCCACGATCCATGGCATTTAATTCAATCCACAAGCAGTCAGGTTGGCAAATTGCAGGGTCGCGGTTCTGATGGGCATTCCCTGTTCTTGCTCAGCCCTAAACCCAGGATGTATTTACTTTCCACCACCTTCAACCTAGTCAAGGATGGTACCAAGCGTCGACCCAGTGTTCAGACCGGCATGTAAACTGGAAACGAGTGCAAAAGTAGCATCTGTTTGACCAACCGGTACCGAAAAAAGAAAGCGAGACTAGAAGCAACCAAAGTCATCTCTGTCAGGGTCCTTCTTGACCCCAAATGACATATTCCACATGTCAGCCAGAAGGCATTTGTTTGTTGGGGTTCCCCTAATGTGACACAAACCGCAAACCCTTAAAAGTCCACAGTTTTGGGGCATGTCCAAAACTGTAGTACATGAGTAGGGATTCGGAAGCTGGTGCAATTGGCCACCAACCCCAAGACAAACAATGAAATACAGAAATATGCGAGCTCTTGTGATGTCCATCTCCAAACATGTGAGGTGCCTTTCAACACTCGCTGTATGTTGCGTGTGCGCGCCACATATAGCGCGTTGAAGCCAGCCCGCAAACCCGACCCCCACTGCAGCTGTGTGCCAAAGTCCTGGGGGTCATGGGTGACAACTCAGGCAAGTTCCAAACAAGGCACCAGAGTGGACAATTGGACTAGACCCAGAAAAAGAACTCTGTTGAGAGGTGGGAGGCGTGGATGGGAAGAACCCAGCAACGGCACTGTTTCACATGGGCTCTCGGGGGACCGCAAGCAAAGTGCGACAAGACCGCTCACAGGAAACCGCTCCAAAGGGTTTCCAAGTCAGGGGCTGTGAGCACGGAGGGCAGGAATGCTTGCAGCAAGACTTCGACAACCAAAACCATGAATTCCCAGGCTTGATTCCCAAGGGCAAACATGGGTTTTCAACAGCGAGCACCATTTCACACACAGGGCCAGCTTGTTTAAACACAGAGTCAGAGGCTGTGCGAGCGACTCACCTGTTTCACTAGGAATATTTCTGAGTGACAATCTAAAACGATGCAAGGAATCTTCCAAATTCATGGCCCGAACCTTGAAGTTGTCCTTGGCTCATTGTAGACCGCAACCCCAAGACCTTTCCATCTTTGTGTCAGTTCAGAGACTTGGGGTTTCCTGTAAGTGTCCCTTCAAGCACGATTCAAAAGCAACCACCCCCAATGAGTCAGGGAAACCCCCAACAGGGGAGCTGGAACCCAGACCCAAGGGAAAAACGGGGCACTCGTTCTTGATCTTAAAGGGACACCGAGGAATCGTTGAACAAAGGGCACCAACAAAGAAGAGCCAAAGGAAACCACGAGGTCTCTACACTTGCACGAAGACCCTTTCCAAAGCATGGGAAAACAAATAAAGCACCAGGGTGGGGGGAGTTCTTCCACAACTCTCGCCTTGATCTCCTTAGCCGCGGGGTCGATCCACTGTTCTGGCGGAGAGCTTGAACAAAATTTTCCCTGTGGGGCCTCTTGAAAAGGCTCTCTCTAGTCCCCATATGGGTGTCTTCGAAAAGGAAAAATGGTGTCCTTCTGGTTTCGCTTTACAACTACAACAAAAAGGGGGTACCCTCCAAAAAAGACATACGTCAGGGGCCCCAGCAATGTAAGCAGCTAAAGGTGCAAAGGAGCAAAAACAAACTTGGTGGCTAAAATCGACGCACCTATTGCAAAGGGGAATTGGCCCCTACCTTGACATAGTAAACTTGCTGGTTCTCAGGCTCGAGACCAATGAACTATCCTGTTTAGAGGACCCAACCGTTGGGCTTATCAGAAAGTTGGGACACCAGGGAACCTCAAGCAAAGGAATGGTTCAGTTCGGGGCAATCTCATTTCCTACCCGGCAAAAAGACACACACACACACACACCTTAGGAGCATAGGACCCAATGGACAGCAGCCATGAATGTGACAAGGGGAACAACGAAACGGGCCTTTGGGGGAAGAAAACCGAAGCTGAAGCTGAATCTGCAACAGATAAATTGTCTCTTGGTTTGACAAATCCAGTTACATAAAAGGAATCTGGAAAACACACCCCTTTTGCTGGGGTGGTGTGCAACCCACCCCACAAAAAGGAATACTGTGTGCCACCTTTTTGCCTGGAGCAATCTCCACGCACAGATGCACTAATTGCTTGCCGCGTTTGGTTAAACTGACCCCCTGCAAAACAGGCTCTTCACTTTTGCTGGGAAAATGATCAATGTGCCTCAAAAGGTTCAAGCTCGCCCTCCTTTTCCGGCCAAAACCGGGCAAAGCCTCATTTCCGGAACAGACATCTACGGTTCTTCAGCAAACCCCCCCCAAACCAAAAACACTATGCCCGGCTGGTATCCCCAACAGCCCCGGAACATCCTGGAACCCTCCCAAACCCTGCCTGATTTTCTGCTCCAAACCACCCCAGAGCTTGTTTGGGCAGAGACCCCAAAGCTTTCAGGTTTTGGGAGGGAGGAACAAAGCACTCCGCTTGATTCTGGTCATTTACCTTCAAGACATCCCAGAAATGTCGAAAGGCGTGCCTATGTCCTCGTTGAAGACCATCTTGGTGTGGAGGTCGTCCCCGTGAATCTCCACCTCATCCGTCTCGTCCGCAGATCGCCCCGCGTCCCTGCACGGATAGGGATCCATGGACACGAGCGCGGCTTCCTTTGGGTTTCCCGAACCATCCGTTTCTCACGGCTTGGCGCATGTCTTTTCAACGAGGGGGGGGTGTCCGTAAAATTTCCTCTTGGGTGAAAGCTACTTTCCGGGCCAGAGAGCCTACTTTGAAAGACCAAAGGACCTCCCAAAGGGGTCCTTTAAGGGTCTGGACAAATGAAAAGCGATCAGGCCACACAATATCCACCGCCCGGATACTGTCTTTCGCCGGTGCCGAAAGTGCAGAGGCTCAGGCGGCATCCAATTCGTGTGTCTTGTCAGGGAGCCCATGAATGCCAAGTAAGGTTGGGACTCATCACGCCCTGACGTTTGGACAACCATCGATTCAAACTCTGCAATGATCGGCGCCAGCTGGACAATAACGCAGGAATAACACATGGGACTCCGGCACGGGAGGGGCAAACATATATGCAACGCTGGCTCTGTCCGTGGAGAGAAGGGTGCTGCAAACCGGCTGATGCAAGAAGCTTACAGCTTTGCTAGGGCGCTGTTGCTTTGATCTCATCCCCAACTCATGGCTGAATGCATCTGCAGGTTTAATTTGCATCGCCCAACACCGTCCTTTCAACTTGACCGGACCTACAGTAGACCTCCTGCAAAAGGTTGCGTTGGCTGGTAAGGAAGAATGAAGGAAACCCACGACAAAAGGGCAAACAGGGTGAGTTCAGTCTAGCCATGTCCAAGGAGTCTCTGGTGGCGCCCCACTTTCCGGGGTCAAACACGCGACTTGCGAGTCACTGGGCTCCCGGCTTGATGGTCACGTCCCAGATCATCCAGCAGGTCACCAGCACGAAGAGGACTGGGTACATGAGGATGCCCACCTGAGCTCAGCTTCTCTCCAATTCGTGTTTGGTATTGCCAATATTGGTGGCTTGGATCTTGGTTTCCCATTTACCTACAAAAGCCAGGGGCCCAAAACCACGAACCGCCAATCCAAACCACCACGTTTCCTCCGAAAACCGGGAAACTCGGCTTAGGTCTGACAAGAACGATGGTTAAAATAGTTGGCACCCAACAAAATTGCCAACTGTCACAGCATTGGACACGTTGCCAGTCGGGGTCGGCGATAATAGGCTCACACGACCGGTTGGGGTCAAGCTTGATACAAACATACAACACCTCGATTTGTTTGGCGGGTTGGGTTGGTCAATCTAGGCTTCTTATCATCCCTTCGGGCCATCCCCTTGTTTCTGATCCACAGAATGCTCCATGTTTTCCATCTTTCTCATGAAGTGTAATCGCCTCACCCAAAACCGGCTTCGTGCTGCAGGGAGCCTTGCGGACACGTCCACTGCCTGCAATCGCGAGACAACTTGCTGGTTCTCAGCAAGGAAAGGAACCAAGATAGTTTTGGGAATGAACATAATGAACCTAGGGTCAGGCAACTCTTTGTTGGTGTTTTGGATTGGCAGTTTGGAGATTTGAGGCCCTGGTTCTTGTAGAAGGTACGTGGGAAACCACCCCCTAACCTCTAAACCACCAATCCAAATACTTGGCTATCTATGCTGGTTTAAGAGTCCAACAGTGCGACCCGTGCATCAACTGTTCGATTTGCGTCAACACATATGGCTTCCCAAGCGCAAAACTCCCAGAGGTGTTGATCCGACACCATGGCAGAAAATCTGAGACGAAGTGCGCCGGAATGTCCTCCGGGTGTTGGATGATGTATTCGTGTGCTTGACAGATCACGTTCTTTTCTGGTCATCCTCCGAGAGTTCACTCAACGGGTCCCGCTCCCTTTCTATGGCATGGTCACGCGTCTTGCTCGTGTCCATTCTGCTCGTGCAAATCTCGTTCAGCACGGTCTCCCAGATTTCCAGGATACTTAGTGAGACGTCCCGCCGGATTAGCCAAGGACCACCGAAGTGTTAAACTAGACTTTGCTGGACATATATGAGGGTGAGATAGCGATGATATTGTGGATATTGAGTGGTGTTTACATGTTTAATTCTGATTGTGTAGGGTTCAACAGTGACAAAACTGTGCTGATAAAGTTGTGTTGCTTGTATTGCGGGCACCAGCCACCTTTCTCTTGGGTGCGCCTGCCCAAACAACCTTCAAACAAAGAGCTAAGCTTTGAGGACTTTCAACAAGCGAGAAAAAGTTGACAAAAAAAGGGAGCAACACACCCGAATGTGGCTGCCCAGAACAGAAACACGAAACGTGAAAGGTTCGACTTGCTTTGGACAAAGGAGGTGGCCTAAATTTCCTGAAATGTAAGATGCTGTGCGCTTCTTGCACTAGCGCTCCCGATATTTCCCCTGCAACATCACCCAAGAGGAGCCTTACCCAACATCGTTCCAGAAAGGAACTCACTTCCTGAGTGGTCTGGCCAAACACAGTCTGAACTTTGTATTTGCGGCTAAACCGGTCTTCCCAACAAACTTAAAGTCCAGAAACTCGGAAAGTGAGGAAACTTAAACTGGCATAGGGAAATACAGGGACTGCCGTTGGGCCCTGACATGAAACTGGGGCCCAAGTTGTCAAATATTACTGTTGGAGTTGTGTCCCTAGCCACCGTTGAGCTCGGGTAAGTTTGATGTCTTTCTATGGATATACGACTTCTACTTAGCACACTTGAGAGGTGGTTCGAACTCTTAAAACAACATAGCCAAATGGGTATGTGTCAAAAATAAGGGACCCCCTAAAAAATGTGGCTTCCTTTTGGCTTCGCTTTAACGCCGCTCCAAACCGCTTGCCCTCAAACCCATTCGATTGAGCCCGAAGTGGCTGAATTCGCTTGCCAGGTGCCCTGCCGCGACAAAGATCTGGATCTGAAACCTGACCGGTTTTCCACGCGTCTCTGACTGTCCCAAACAGTGAGGCTCCCGGGTAGCCTTTGGGTTTGCTCCAAAAGAAACCCAAGAGAAAACCGTGAAATCCCATTTCTTGGGTCCAGCTTGAGACAGCGAGTGGAGGTCACAAACTAGGCGTGCGTTGGAAAAATAATTAGGGTCCCACACGTGTATGACCAATATCAATATGTCACCGAATAGGATCTGAGCCATTTTCAAACATCTTTGTTTCCCCAGGACATGGAACAAATAGTGAGTCTGGATGTGAGAATTTAGAGCTCCATGTCCATTGCTTATACCGAATCTTACCCCTAGCTTCAGAGGGTCTGGCGATTTTCGCGTCGTGGTTGGGGAAAGCCCCGAGAAGCACTGTGCTCGTTTCCGGTCTCTGAGCAGCCAAAAGGAAAACCGAAATTCATTTTGGAGATCCCTCTATTTTTGGCACCATTGTTGTTCTAGCTCCAAAAGCACGTTGTATATTCCCAACAGGATTTACCAGTGGGATCACGCGTTTCTTTCAATTGTTCTAGGGTGGATCCATAGCTCAAGCGGTGGATCCATGGCTCATCCCAAAACTGGAGCAGTGATTGAATCACTCGCACTAGAACCTAAGGGTCCCAAGAGGGGGAAAAACAAAGTTTGGGGGGTCTCAAAAATCGTTGATTTTAAGAACCCTCGACAGGTCAGGGTCCTCCACCATGCACACACACACACAATCATTCACCCATCTAAATGATCCATGAGGATGGTCCCCCGTGCTGCTCCGAAATCTCTGGGCTGATTTCGACTCCGCAATTCCGGGAACCACCGGACACCTCGCAAATCATGGCTTGGTCATCTAAAGGCTGGGCGTCAATAAGGAGCTTTGGAAAAATAGCAAAAAAACACGCAGACCCTTTTGCATTTCACGCATGGGAAAAAAACTTCATGGTTGCTATGGAGCGCACCCAGTAAGTATCACTGGTTCCAAGCTGTAATTCATCAACTGGAGCTGGCTGGTGAATGGAAACCTCCCGTTTGCGATCCGCTTGCTCCTTTTGTGCTAACATAGACAACCGATTGCTCATTTTCCGGTCAAAAGCCAGCCCAGGACTAAATCTTCAATCTGCAAGGCGCTCGCTGGAAAGCCGGACCCGCGCGGGGCAGCCTCGATGTAAACTGACCGCTCGAATCCGTCTGGAAAAAGGGCGGGCAGGGCATTACTCGATTTCTCTGGCACACTCTCCCCACGTTCCAGGGATTATTTTCAGAAAACCAGATTTGCAAACCCGTTGGGAAAACCGCTGCTTTTCATTTCATGCATCCACTACCAACGATGGTTGGCGCCTCTCCGGCTTCCAGAAGAAGAAGGTCACTAGGCAGTTCCTCGGTGCGAACTGGAACACAGGACTGGATGTGGGCATCGTGGCATCACTGGGGATGCCCGTTTTTGAGGATGCCTTTTCTGGGGATGTTGTAAAAGGATCTCAAAGAGAACACCACAATTTCCGCGAGGTCCATTTAAACACCCTCCACCTACGTTTGGGAAGATATATATCGCATAACATGTGCATATAAATTGCAGTGTACCTGTTTATGCATACATACATGTGTGTGTGTATATGTATGTAGGTCTGTAGGTCTCTGGGTCTGTAGGTCTGTAGGTCTGTAGGTCTGTAGGTCTGTAGGTCTGTTGGTCTGTAGGTATGTAGGTATGTAGGTATGTAGGTATGTAGGTATGTATGTATGTATGTATGTGTGTATGCAAGTATGTAGGTATGTAGGTATGTAGGTATGTAGGTATGTATGTAGGTATGTAGGTATGTTGGTGGTTTGTAGGTACCTAGGTACGTAGGTACGTAGGTATGTGTGTATCTATGTATCTATATACCTATGTATCTAAGTATCTATGTATCTACGTATGTATGTATGTACGTATGCAGGTATGTAGGTATGTAGGTATGTAGGTATGTAGGTATGTAATGTCATGTAATGTAATGTATGTATGTATGTATGTATGTATGTATGCGTGTATGTATGTATATCCGTATGTATGTATGTGTGTGTATGTGTGTATGTATGTATGTATGCATGTATGAATGTATGTATGTATGCATGTATGTAATGTATGTAATGTATGTAATGTATGTAATGTATGTAATGTATGTAATGTATGTGATGTATGCAATGCATGTCATGTATGTGAGGTATGACATGTATGTCATGTATGTCATGTATGTAATGTATGTAGTGTATGTGATGTATGTAATGTATGTATTGTATGTAATCTATGTAATGCATGTAATCTATGTAATCTATGTAATGTTTGTAATGTATGTAATGTATGTAATGCATGTAATGTATGGAATGTATGTAATGTGTGTAATGTATGCAATGTATGTAATGTATGTAATGTGTGTACGCATGTATGTATGTATGTATGGATGCATGCATGCATGCATGTATGTATGTGTGTATGTATGTATGTATGCATGTACTGTCAAAGGAAATTTAGTCAGAAAACTTCCGCAATACGAAAAGTTGAATCACAAGATCCGGAGACACTCAGAAGTGAGGTCTGCACGAAAAATCGCGAAGGGTACCTCTGTTCTGCGCGCGGTCTCGCCACGGTCTCGCCACGGTCTCGCCACGGGTTCGCCACGGGTTCGCCACGGGTTCGCCATGGTCTCGGAAAGTTGTCCACTGTAATGCTCGCGCAGACGTTTTCGGAGGTCCATTTTGCGTGGCAGGCGCAGCTTTTTGGCGACACAAGGTGCAGATTTCGTGGCAGGTGCAGCATTTTGTGCCCGTGCAAGGTCAAGTACAGATTTCGTGGCAGGCGCAGCATTTTCGCAAGGTCGAGTACAGATTTCGCGGCAGGCGCGGAACTTTCGAAAGGTCAGGTGATAGATAGATAGAAACATAAGTAGATAAAGAAAGAAACAACTAAGGAAATCCGCCGACCCCATGCCTGGTCCAGAATGGACCATGCTTTCGGCATGGGGGCGGTGTGTTCTGTGTTGCTTTTGTTGATATGCTTTCCATAAGTTTAATGTGAATATGATTATGTAGATATATATATATATATAACCTATATGTCCCTTGGGGCGGCCCTTGGGGCTGGTTTCTACGTCAGCTGGATTTCTGGATTTCTGGATTTCTGGATCTCTGGATTTCTGGATCTCTGGATTTCTGGAATTCTGGATTTCCCCCTCCCCCCCCCCCTCCCCCTCCCCCCCCCCTCCCCCCCCCTCCCCCCCCCCCCCCCCTCCCCCCCTCCCCCCCCCTCCCCCTCCCCCCCCTTCCCCCCCCCCCTCCCCCCCTCCCCCCCCTCCCCCCTCCCCCTTCCCCCCCCCCCCTCCGCCCCCCCCTCCCCCCCCTCTCCCCCCCCCCTCCCCCCCCTCCCCCCCCCCTTGAGCTTTTTTTCTTGCACAAGTGCGGCCGCCGCCGCTGTGCGGAAAACAGCGCACATACCGCGCTTTTCTTCGCATTTGTTGGCCTGGTTGGCTTTCGGTGTGAGGCCCAGCGTGCCGGATGCAAGCGCCGGACGCCGGACGCAAGCAGGCACACATGCACTTAAGCTAGGGTGGGTGAGTGCATGCTCAGCGGGGTTGGGCAGGCAACCCTGCAGCCTCTTGCGCGTGTGGGTTCGCAGCGAGCGCGTGCTTGGGTGGGCGTGGTGTGTGGGTTCGCGGGCGGCGTGGGTGGGTGGGGGGGATGTGTCGGCACAACTTCGCGGAGCAGGTCCGGAGGTTAGGCTCTGAAACAAGGTCCCGCCTAAACAGAGTTCTTGTTAGTGCTCCCCATCTCACCTGTCCGACCGGCCAGCGCAGCTGGTGATGGCGAAGCCCGAGGATTGCATTTTCCAAGGTGAACAGTCAAACCAAATGGCCACCAGCAGTGCAGAACTTTTTTATGAGATCCTCTTAGACCAGCAAGACTGAAAGACTCCTTGGCATGATTCTTCACTGAATTGAAGGCTTGCAAAACGCCAAAAGGATTTTCATTGAGTGTGAAGTTTCCAATGGGTAACGTTGAAAACCACCAAACAGCGCCCCAACCCCTCCAGTTACGTAAGGTGCCGATCCAAAACGTACGCATTCACCCCCCCATTGCCATGCTCATCTGAATCCGATTGCATCAGACGGCTCCGAGTCAAACATGGCTGTGGACAATCGCCCCTTCTATATTGCATGCCATCCCCATCACTGCTTTATCCCAGCGTTTCATATATCCAAGCATCCTCCATACCTTTTGGGCATACCGCCCCATAAAGATTCTGCAAAAAACACAACCCAAATACTCCGACAAAACCCGGGGAACGAGACAAAAGCTTTCCGGGTCCTAACCCCAAGGACCACAAACGGGGCCTTGGGCGCTCCCAAACGGAGATCGGAGTCTGGGGCCAGCGCTGGGTGAGCATCTTCGCAGCAGATCGGGTGAAGCCGATCAGGCCCTCGGCCCCAGCTCTCGGTCAGCGCCGGTCCCTAAACCCCCGCATGGGCGGCTCGTCGTTTTTTGGAGTTGGCAACCTGTTTGTCGGCTTTGAAGGGAAACCAAACGGAAAGCCATCATTTGGGGGGAGGACGGGAGGAAGGGGGGCCCATATAAGTTTCCATTTAAAGGGCTTCTAACCCACAGTACGGCGGTTTTTCAAACCAAATTCATCGCTATACTGGGACATGGACCGAGTCCTATTTTCAGAAGAACCCATATGGGCCCTTTGGGGGCCCACTTGGACACATACTCACCCAAAACCCATAAAGAAACTAAATTTGCCTGTTGCCGCACCTTCCCCAACCTTCACTGACCTTGGCTTTGAATGTGGCTCACATCAAAAAGGTCAGGCAGGTGACTGGCGAGAGTTTGGGCAGAGTAAGCCCTGCGGATGATGACACATGACCGGGCTTTGGGACTTACTTGTCTCGGGGGTTCCACATGTTTTCCTCGACAATTGCAAGTGGCAAGCCCGTCCTTCACTCAGCTCCCTCCCCAAGGCGGAATGTGGATACTCCCAGCTCCTTGTCTCCCTTACCACCAGCTAGGTGACCCGAAAGGCAGCTGCCTCGCGGTTCAACCATTTCCACAGTCCGCCCATCCCCTCCGGACCCCCCCCCAAACCCTTTGTGTTCGTCTTTACTAACTGCTGCAATTCCTCAGTCCCGAGGATTTCCAAGAGAATGAACGGCGCCCTTTCTGGTTGGTCGTTTTCGATTGAGACCCTTCCCATCAAAAAACACCTGGAAAAACGCGCACCGGGGAAATTAAATTCAGCCTGGCCGGGCCCCAGGCCATGTCCAACACGAAGATGGACAGAAAGCCCGGCTCAAGCATCCGCAACCTGCAGTCAGTCGGTGACCGGTGCGAAAACCATGGGATGGCTGCCAATTCTCATGCGAAGTACAAATGGCTAAGCCAAACTGTCGGAATTGTGGCATCTACTTCACCTAACTGTACCCCTGGTTTCCTTAGGGTCTTATTTGGAGGAAACTGGACGGGGGGTCAGAGGATTGGGGGGTTGGATCCTATGCAACAAAATGATGTGGGAAACTTAGCAGGCCATTTGAGCAATGTCTCAAACAATCCGGAACACAGCTTTTGGGAGGGATTCCCAAGTTCATCCAACATTTGACCCTTACACCTCAACCCAAAGCCAGCTCACTGAAGCCTGGAAACAAGTCTAGCCAACCCGCTCAACTCCCTTCGCAAGGGAGAGACCAATGCGGAAGCTACCTTGAAGCAAACATATGGCATTTGCGTGGCAACAGGCTTTCCTGTAAAGGGGACCAGTGTCTGCTTGGCCCAGCCGACGTTGCCCAACCCTAAAACGCCCTATTTGTTGTGCTTTAAGGGTTCCTGCAAACCTGCCGAGTTTTGCAGTCGCCTAGCCCAGCAACCCCCACGGAAAAAAAAAAAAAAAAAAAACATCTTTTCGGGGGTACCACTGAACAGCTGGGCCAGTTGCACAATGCCCCCCAAATCCTTAAAATCATCCTCCAAATTGTTGTTTTCAGGGACGCCAAAAATAAGTTGGAGAACCCCTCAAAATGTTGATCCTTGAGTTGCACCAAAATGTGCTCCTTCAATGAAAACCCAAGGAAAATAGTGTTCAGAACCACTCTAAATGCAACTTTGAGCGACTCCGAAAGCGAGAATTGTCCCACGCCGACCGCACCTCCGCTGACTGGACTTCATGACCGTCTGGTAGTACCTGGATCGGATGGGAGGTTCAAACTGGTGGACCCTCAAGCTACCCTTCAAAAAGGGAAGTTTCATTTTGGGTCAGCCCCTTTTTAAGGGTATTGTAAGGCTGGGAGCTTCTTTGGGTTGGTAGCAAAGCCAAAAGGAAAACTGGTCCCGAATTGTGTGAGGAACACCCAAATCTCTCGACCGTACGTGTCAGGCTGAGATTCCTGGTTCCCGGACGTGCCATTTCTGAGGCAAAAAATCCATTGTGTGTCTAATTCACAACATTCAACGCCACAAGTACATGAAGTACGCTTCTGCAGTCCCGGCTCGAAACTCAATACCACGTGCGCAGCTCACAACTCGCAATTTTTCAGTACGCAAACAGTACGCAAAATAAGCGTCCGCGGCCCCAACTCGAACTTTGTGCAGCCGTAGAGGTGGGAACCCATTGACACCCCATGTCTGGAAGCTGACGGGGAGGTCCATGGACGGCGGATCTTGGCCGAACATCACCGAAAATCCAGCTGAAAGCTTCAAGACTCCAACAGGCAGTTGTCTTGTCGGGTTTGCTTTTGCAGCGGCGTATTGGCAATCCTCGCGATATGCTTTCCTCCGATTCTGCGCAAACTGCCAGCGTGGTATGTCAGTCCAAGCTTTCGCGATCCCCCGCCATCGCGGAGCTTTGGGCGAAGGGCACTAGACCAAAAGGCCTTCTCCTTCACTGCGACTTTCACTACGTTTGGATTGAGGACGGAGAACAAGAAGCGTCTTCAGCCCTGAGAACATCCCAGGATCGTGCTCACGTGGGGCGACATCGCCTCAAGTCTGTCATGGCCTTCATTGGAAGCCCGCATCGCAGAAACAACCTGGGTATTCGCACGCTTTCCAAGATTGGCAGGTTCAGCGCACACCAGAGCTGCTCAACAACACCTCGAGCCGTGGGCATTTCAGGCACAGGATTTCAACCTTCTGGTAAATAGCCACATACTCAAGATCCTTTGCATGAAGAGGAACACTAAGAGTGGACGCTGTTTGGCCTGGCTATCACCATAAGCTTGTCTAAGTGCACGGCTACACGTCCCAGAGCGGCTTCTTAATGGCATCAGAAGGATTTGACAATCCTTCAGCAGCGCTCTGGCGCTCAAAAGCCTAGGCTATGTGTTTACAAGGGGGGTCAAAGTTGGCTCCAATGCTCAGTTGTGTCGCGCGAACAGAAGACAGCAAAGAGTTCGATGCCTGGCAGTAACACAACATGTTTCGCTCGACGGCCGCGCGCGCACGAGAGGGAGGGAGGGAGGGAGGGAGGGAGGGAGGGAGGGAGGGAGGGAGGGAGGGAGGGGAGGGAGGGAGGGAGGGAGGGAGGGAGGGAGGGAGGGAGGGAGGGAGGGAGGGAGGGAGGGAGGGAGGGAGGAGGAGGGAGGGAGGGAGGGAGGGAGGAGAGGGAGGGAGGGAGGGAGGGAGGGAGAGAGAGAGAGAGAGAGAGAGAGAGAGAGAGAGAGAGAGACTTAAGTTGTCCACAATTATGCGACAGCAGGCCCGCAGTAAAAATAACCACATGGGCATCATCGAGATCCAAGATGCGCTTCCAGGAAGACCGTGTGCCAACAGAAAGGCCGCAGACCCCAGCCCAGCCCAGCCCAGCCCAGCCCAGCCCACCCCATCCCACCCTCGCAATGGAGAGCTTGTCTGGCGCTGGAGTGAGGCGAGGCGGACATTCTCTCCCTGAGAACCCAAGGGTTCGAGGGTCACTCGATACCAAAGTGCGACTTCACATCACCATGAGCATAGGTTTCCTTCTGGAAAAAAAACATGGCCCTGGCCAATGGAACAACCCAATCCAAACCAATGCTATCTATTTCTAACCAGTCCAGCCTGCTAAACAAAAAAATAACACTATGCCCATGAGAGCTGCATCACTTTCCATCGAAAGTGAGCTGCCCCACCCAATTTCCCAGGGGAACCATTACAAAGGGCATCGAATTTGTTCGAGTGCCCAAAGGACCCAGACATAAGAGCTTTTGAAGGCTGCCACTGGCGCACACCAAAAATATGCTCAGATTCTGATTCCTCTAAAGTCAACCCTATATGAAATTAACCATATCTAGTCAGCCCCAACATATTAGTCATATCTAGGAGACCCCTGAAAAGCGGGCCTTCCACGCGAGGAAATCTGAGTCAAACCCTGAGACCCGAGCTCCGAAGCTCGAGTCGCGCACGCGATGTAACTTCCGCCCAAGAGGGTGACGAAGAGGAACATCAGCAAGAAGGTCCCGGTGTAGCTGTGCATCATGCGCCTTCGCTGGCCAAAAACGGCGAGAAGATGGGACCTCGATTGGAGGGGGCTTTGGCTGGATCTCCATTGGAAGGTATTGGACCGTTGAGGTCCCAAAGTTCTCAGGGTAAGAAAGACTTAGGATTTCTTGGCGGTTTGCGTGATGCCAAGCCATAATTGAAATGCAAAGGTGAACCATTCAGAATTAAACCAAGCTGGGGTCCCCAAAGGGGATAAGTAAAGCCAAGCCTTCTTGATTGAAACCGGGAGAAACATTGGGGACCCACCCAGAAAGCTTCTCAGAGCCCTAGGTCAGAACCCCGCCTCAGCGGGCGCAAAGGAGGGACCTTAGAGTTGAAGCCCAATCCACATGTGGTTCGAATGAAATGGCACTTAGGAATGGGCGAAACATTGCTGGGACGAATGGCGATATAAACCACACAAGTATTCCAGCCATTCGGTCGAGGCAGCCCGCCTTGCAGGGGAGTCTTGAGGGGTCCGAGGTAAGGGTCCTCTATTACGGGCCGGCAAGGCTTCGTTGGATTTTATCAATACAAAGCCCTTTGGTCGATGAATGCCCCCAAAGCCGACAGTGGAAAGGCAGGACTACTAAACCCGTTGTTGATGCATATGGGGCTGTTCCATTTCAGAGGGACATCTTCAAATTGTAGGGGCGAGCACCGCCCTATTAATTCACCAGATTGTGGAGACGATGGCTATCATTGGCTATCTGTGCGCATCAACAGTATGAATACCTCCCCAGCAGTGTACTTGTCCCTCTACCATGTATCTGAGCTACGGCAGTTATTTGCCACATGGTTGAATGGTCGGACGTTCTCACCTCGTTCTCCAACGCTGCACTCGTTTGGCCTCATTGACCCATGCCGCATGTGTTTGTGATCTCAATCACCCGTGTTGGGGGTGTTGCTACCTCGCTTTGAACCCAATAAAAGCGAAGCTTTTCTCGTGCACTGTGGTTCACCCACCTCAAAAGTGGTACCCCTCGAACAGGGAAACACACCCAAATGACAAATGAGTCAAGAGAATGTTGTTCAAACAAAAAGCTCCCAAGTTTGGACCCCGATGTCCTTTACGTTTCCCAACAAGGTGGTCACACAACGGTCCACATAAAAACATGCATCCCGTCGGGCTGGCCTTATCAGCTCCATCTCGTGCATCAAGTACAGGAAGGGAACCACCTGACGGATGCGCTCTCATGGTTGGAAAGGAGCTTTGCTGTGATCCCAAAAGCCTTCCCTATGACTTTTTCACTTTGAAGAGGATTACCTCCAAATCACAGAAAGTGGTCCTAGAATCAGAGGGGACGGAGCACAAATGTGCCCCGAATCTCCACCGCCACAAAAATCGTCTTCAAAAGCACAATAGTTTTTTAGGACGGGTCGAAAGTGCACCGAGCTACATGTCAGATGCTCCCTTGTCATATCACCCTGCCAGGAAACTCACTGTAAAATGGTTCAAAAGGAAAAAAATCAGAGGCAACCCAATCCCAGACAAGGCAACGACATCTATCCGTCTCAGAGCCACCCTGTTGTGGGCCTAGGGGCTAGAGATTTGCCCGCGGCGGCAACCCTCCCACGCAACTCGGTCTTTCAGACTTTCACGTGCGCCCCTCATGCGAGGAAGCCTCGGCAACTCCTCAAGAGCCATGGCAAAAATTACGGCTTCCCTGATCGGACATGGGAAATTTGGGGAGCCGACGGTCGTTGTGAAACAAAACAGGGAGTGCCCCTTGTTCTTTTCCAAATGGGCAATAGACTACATGCGACCTGGACTGGACCTTTGGAATGCCGATAGCATATGCCATCCGCGGTTGCCTTCTCTTGCTTGTTCTTAGGAAGCTCTTGCAAGCTGAAGGACACCCCTGAGAATCTACGTAAGATAGTTCCGTCCACATCTGAATTTTCCGGACCCCACAAATGGCAGTGGTTTCCTTGTGGCCTCCCTTGAAAACCAACTCACAAAGATGTTCCCCCCCCGGCCCCCCCACAAGAAAGGAGCCTCGCCGACTCAGTTTGCCCTAAGAGCGTGATCCTCATTGGGGGCGGGCTCTCTGTACTTCCCAATCTGTGGTAGGTTGGCAATATTATAGGGGTTGATTCCCCATCGTTCTTTTCAAACACCGGTTGTTTCCACGGTTTTTGATAGTTTCCTGAAAAGAAGGATCCCTGGAAAGAATGGGGAAGGTACCCCTAGAAATATGGACTGAACCAAAGCAACTCTAAAGTATGCAACGTACCGACTCTGGCAAAGACCTGATTCTTCGAGCCCTACAAACCGCTCCCCGAAACTGTCGGGGGGTCCTTCCCACTTTTGGGGTACTCGCCTAGACCTTATGCGGTCATGGATGATGTGACCGGGTCCTGAACTTGGGTGCTCTGGGGTTTGGGAGGGTACCATTTAAAGCGACATCCCAAAAGCACATCGCTACTGGGGCGTTATTGGGAAACCATCCAATTGGAAGAAAATCTGAGAACCAGTAAGCACGCAACCACTTGACTCACTTCCCAAGTCCAAACCTTTGGCTTGCCACATTCTTCCAGACATGTAAGTCCGTCACCTCTTGGAGTGCCCTTGCCCCCCTCCGGGCATCAACGCTACCACACAGTGTAGAGTCCGGCACCTCTGGTGTGTGCGGGCTACTCTGGCCCAGGGCGTGACCACGGTAACCACACGACCCATCGAATCTAAGTAACAAGAGCGCGGTGGATCCAGGCTTTACGTGCTTGTTCCAAGTAGAAGGTCCGGGAAAAGTGAAGGGACCCAACCCGCCAGCGGAACCCCGCGGCGCGCCTCTCTCATGGGTGAGGTGTCGCAGGGGACCAGCTCGAAGGCTGTCTGAAAGGCGTCCTGATGTTGCCGGCCTTGGGAGCTACGTCCGTTATTGGGGTGGACTCAGCGAAAAACTCATGGACCGGATCGAAGAGGGCCCTTGTACCTTCGAACTTCACATGGTTTGCTGAGAAAGCGATAGGCAGGAACTGTGAGCACTCAAGAAAGCGGGCCCTTGTGGCCAATCGATTGGTCGAATGGAATCCCGCACCACTTACCTTGCAATGGCCCCATTCCACCAACATCTCGCCGCACAGGAACCCTCCCACCGGCGCCGCCGGCTTGTGGATGTGCTGAAATAAAGGGGCACAGGTAACAACTTCTGGCGCTCGTCGAAGATTGGCCAACAGGGCCTAATAGGAGGCTTGTGCTTTGGTGAGCCTTTCCACAGCATCCAAACCAAGCAGAGGATCCACTTCCCCCTGTCGATGAACAGTCAAAAGGCCCGTCCCCAGCTTTTACCACCCCCCCCCCATATCCTATGTCAAGCACTTCCCCTTCCAAGAAGGAAAAATAAGTAGATGTACCTCCCCGATTCTTTCCAGGGATCCATATCTTTGGACATTTCCGGAAACCAAGGGAATTGGGGCAGGTGCTCAAAAGAATGACGGGAGAAACGACTGAGAGAGCAATCTATAGAATATTGAGTATTGCCAAACGGGCTTGTGCCTAAACCATTAGAACTGGGTTGTGGGGTACTGAAAACCAAATTTAGTAACGTTGTCCCATCGACGTCCTTCGAGACATTCTTCTTGATCGCATCCTTGATGAATTTCTGGCAAGCATCGCGAGCGGTGGATGTGCATGCACCGTACCATACTTGACGAAGATGGCAAATAAACGCGGCGTGTGGGTGTGAATCAAACTAGGGGACCTCCATGTGGTGTTCCTTTGGGTTCCCCCTTTATTTCAACCAAACTGATGATGTTGTTTGCACCTCTTTTGGGCTTCGGAGACTGGCCGTGCTGAAAAAGCTGGGCAAGTTTGCACTTCTATCAGGATATTTAGACTGCTTGCTTGTCATCACAGGACAGGCAAGTTGCAGCTGAGCAGCTGCCTCCAGGAAAGCAACTAGCGACGCATTATCACAGAGTCACATCTTCCTCATTGCAATGATCTCTTTTCATGATCCAGAAGCTCTTGCTGAGTATCGTGAACGACCAGCCCATACTAGGACAAAGGGAACGCCCTTTTCAAACCGGGAGCGAGCCTGAGCTCGTTTAACCTGATAAGTTCGGGAGCTGTCCAAATATCTCAACAATGGCGGGCTTTCCTGGCCATTCGTCGAACAACTGGGAGCTTGCTCTGAAACTGCCGGGGGAAGCCGCCCACTTTGGATGTTCCGGAGCCCACATGTTCCAAGAGTCGCTCCAAAGTCCCTGGAGGAAACCATTAACCAATTTCCCACCAGGGCTGCCATTACCAGATAGACAATAGTAGGTAACAAGTCACGCAAAAGGAAAATACCTGGTTGCCTAGAGAGGGAATCACTGGTAGCACTGGGGGCGTGCTAGGATCTTTTAGGATCCGAGCAACCCTTTGCTTACTGACAACATAAAACTTGAAAGCCGTAGTTTCTCGGGCTTAAAACCAAAAGGCGACCAAGGATTTTCAGAGGTCCTTCTCCTATTTGGGTGTGTCTTCTCTTGAGGGTACTCCTTTGTTTTTAAAGGAAAACCAACGGGAAAAACCCACCCATCTGGGGGGTCCCCGCAAAAAGGACAGACCCAATGTGAGACAATGTGGCGTTCACCATTGTTCACGCTGATACGTCCTGCGTCAGAAGACGCACTAAGCATGCACCTAGAGATAAAATTCACTTGCTTGTGCTGGTTGAAAAGTGCCCCCGTCCCCCTCAGCATTTGTGAGAAGCTTTGACACCCCGACCTTACAATGCCCGTTTTTCTAGTGATCATTCATTTCCCAATTCTGAACCCAGAAGGATGCTGTTGGACAAAACCACTTGAACAATTGTGGAATCAAACCCTAGACGCCCCTAGATGCGTCAGTTCCAACTGTATCCACATGGATTTACAAGGGCCTGCGTCGGAGTACCCAGGCGCCTACATTCATCAGGCCTCCAATATAGCCAGTTCACATTGTTTACATCCTCTTCCTCAAGTTGTTTTCATCTCTCCTCTTCCCCCAATCAAAAACGACCTGCGGTCTGAGGAATCCTGGCTCAAAATCACGCTTTTCCCCCATGGTCACCACGTGAGTCAAACTTCAGGGCTTTCTGTGGCTGGTGCAAAACTATAAAGACCAAGTGGTTCCCTGATTGCATGAACTCAAAAAGTCTACGGGTATGGCTTGCAACCAAGAAGTGTCAATTCATGCATGGCACAGCCCAAAAGTCACCTCTCTGCGGATGGCCCAGTGCGGCCCAACTGCTCAGTGGGCCAAAGGGCCAAAGCCGTTGACCAACCCCCCGCAGGAACTTCATCTCTTGATCTGACACAAATGGGACCAGACACGATGAGTCGCGCAAACAGAGGCCAGGTGTACCTTTTGGTTAGAAAATCGAGGGCTTTCCCTGGAAAATGGGGCATAAAACCAATGTAAGCCAATGGAACCCATCTATTTCTATCCAAACTAACCGATCAAAAGGACGTTAAACGAGGCCTTTAGATTTGGGTATCTAAACCCATGTTTCTTTTGCTCATGGATACTCCAGGGTCAGGGGTAATGATCTCATAAACCCCGAAAGGGGGACCTGTCTTCGAATTGTGGAAGATTCAGTCGAATACAATGCTAATCTCAAGTGAGCGGAACTCAACAACGGTTAGACCCAGAAAATGCAAAGCAGGTTCCCTTTTGGTAGCTTGGTGAATGTACCCTAGGTCATCACATTTGCCACGGTAAATCATTTCGAACACATGGACTGCGGCTCAATCTGGTGAGTCTTCTTCTGAGAGTATCCTGTTGTGGCTTGATTTTACGGGAAACCAAAAAGAAAACTGTCTTTAAAGTCAACCCAGGCTTTTTCAACCTGGGATCTCCTCCCCACTGAAACACATCATTCCACCTGGGGTCAGCCAAGTGGCCCAAGAAAAACCTCTCGCTCGCTCTCTCGCTCTCAGTTTGAGCTCGGCGGCGCCTCCCACTGCTTATCCGTCCATTCCACCACCAGCAGGGCGCTGTCCTAGACATACAGCTTCCGTCATGGAGAGCCAGCTACAGCTGTCCCCATTCTGTTCAGGGATTTGGAAAAGGAGGCAGGCACCCAAAATGGGGCTGGTTTCCAAGAGACCCATGGATGAACAAATAAGGCAACCCTTCAGAACCACATGCAACCACATTTCCCAAACGCCAAACTGCGATCGACTTGCCAGGAATTCTCCAGTCAAAAGGCCAGTGCGGAAAAAAAAAAAAAAACAGTTAGCAAAAACGATTTCCCAACATGGACATCAGAGTCAATAAAACATACCACCAGAACTCCCCGTCCCTGGAGCCGAGGATTTTGGACAAAGCGGGGGGGTGGGGGTTCGTACTCCTGATCCGGAATCTGTGGGACACGCAGCAAGCAGCAAGGGAAACCACTGCTATATGTGTCATCTTCCCCCCTCCCCCCCTGAATAGGACCCATCATATCCGAGCGCATTCGCGAGCCAATGTCGATCCTACAAACGGCTCATTAGGCTTTGTAGAAACGAGACCTGCCCCAGATAGGAATCAAAAAAACCGACCATAGCCTCCAGCACCAGTTCAGGGGAGGCCGTCCTAATTACTGTACACGTTGTTCGGGATCCTTACTACCAGGTGAAGCTGAATGACCATCCCTGTTTAGCCCAAGCAAAGGGTCTCTTGACCATGGCACATATGGCATAAGGATTGCCCGCATTGATTGATTGATTGATTGATTGATTGATTGATTGATTGATTGATTGATTGATTGATTGATTGATTGATTGATTGATTGATTGAACAGTGTCAAAACTGGGCTCAGCAACCTAGCAACCCGGCAACCCAGCAAGAGAACCATCCATTGCCCGCACCGGTGTTAGGGCCCAAGCCGACGCTAAGCAACACAACACCTGCTTACAAGAACCAAGCCAAACACCAGAAACCAACAAAGCAAGATATATACCAGTCATGAACACTGGCTTAAAGAGGGCTAAGGGCAACCTGTCCCAACCAGGGAAACACAAACTAACTATACACCATAGAATAGTACGTAAAAAATCAAAGCGAGCGGGCACAACAAACAGCAAGGGTTGTGAAAACAAAGCCTTTCTGCGATGCCGAGGCCATCCCCCCTAGTTCATCATAAAAAATGTGGCACTACCCAATTCCAATTTTCCTCAGACCTGCAAACAAGTTTACCGTTTGCTGGTAAGGAACATGATGGACCAAAAAGTTGTCAAAGGCTAAGGTCACCGTCATATTTGTTGCGGGATTCATGAGGGACCACCAGGTAAGCCTTTAGTCTGACAACGAATAAACTTTGAGCAACATACTCTGCTTGCAGTTCGATTTCGCTTTTCACTCTGCTCCTCGTCGCCCAAGCGACGCGCCATGACATCTTCCTGGGGTAGCTCCGAAACGCCATGGGTGGTTTGAGCTCGGCACCCGTGGTTGTTTTGAGAGAAGCCCAATCGGTGGAATCGTCAAAAATTTGTCCAGACTTGGCTGGTTTCTCCTTTGTTTTTTGCCGGGGAAGCTGCCTCAAGTCTCTCCAACACCCTCACAAAATGGTGACACCATGGATTCCGAGACCCGTGCACTTGATAGCCGACATGCACTGAGCTTCTCTCATGAAGAAAAGACCGTTCTGACTGCATTGCTGGTGTGCACCGAATCGACTCACATCGGGTTCTGACAGTTTAAGCCGTTCAGCTTGCCGAGCAAATGAAGAGTGCACAGGGCCTCGGACAAGAAGCCCCTGGTGGGCTTGGCAAACGATTTGTTTGTTAATCAAAGCGAATGAAAGACTGCTGTTGAGATGCTCAGCCCGACTGATGGGCTGCATTTGCATTGTGTTGAGCAAAACTTATGCTGGATTGAGCAGCGCCCAGCGAAGTTGGGTTGTAACGAGATTAGCAAGGTCTCTAGGCCATACAAAATGGAATTATTGATGGGGAAGTGATTCTCATGATGCAACTCCCCCCCATCCCGAAAAGGGACGACATTGCCATTGGCAACCAGATCTCAATAAATTATCCGAAGGGAATATCTAAGGGATACCTGCAGGAAACCGCAGTAAGAATGAACTTAAAGGAGATCCCAAACAATTTAAAGGGTTTGAAGAAACAACAAAAGGAACTTGAAGGACAACTAAAAGGATCTTTTTTTAGCAGTTGGTTGACCATGTTTTGACAGGTTGACCCCCCTCCGCCCGCTTGATGCTCGGCTCCTCTAGGCGTCGGATGGACTTGGGATCCCCAGACACATCTCCTGCGATACAGATTCGGTTGTGTGTTTGAGGCTTGGTAGGTTTTATTTGGACCTTTGGAAAGGTTTGGACTTCAACAGGGTGTTGTTTTTGATGGTACCCTTCTTAGGGTTGAAAGGGACACCAAATCAAAATCCGAGATCTATTCTTGGGTACCCCGCGACGCATACCTGAGCCAACTGGCAGGAAGAGCTTTATGAGGGATATGGTTCTTGGTCCTTAACCCCCTTGCGAGTTGGCTGGAAATGTTGATCCTTGCAGTGCTCGCTTGCTTCTCAGGGAATTTCCGGAAGGGCTTTTGTGAATGAACCGGAAGATCCCCTTGATTTGTGGAGATCCTTCCCTCATTCCCTCAGAAGCAGCAAGCAAAAGGGGTCCGTTTAGTCGTATATACCAATGCACGATATGCTTCGGTAAAAATCTGAAGACAACCAAAACTCATCCAAATGTCTGGATAATATGATTGACCAATGTATAGTCAAAAAGGTTTGTAAGCCACTCCAGGTTGGGATCCAAAACCAAGGTGTTGGTCTGCTTGAGGGGTCTCAAGGGAAAGCACCAGGCCAAAAGACGGCCCATGAGTTGCCCAAGAGGACATTGGGTGCTTTCCTGTTCGGCTGCAAGATGCGGAGCTGAAGGAGTTCCTTCGGTGTCTTCAAGTGGAGCAGTATTCTGGCCAGCTCATGACACTCACCGCAGCAGGACCCTCTGTGTGCCACCAGCTCGTCAAAAGGGCGCCCTCAACCAACGGACAGTTTGGAGGAGAGGGGGCTTCTAGCAACTGGGAAGGAAACTAGTAAAACCAGTTGTGAAAACACACAAAAGGCAGCAAACAGTTCCCCCCAACCTGCTTCCTTGAACCGCTTTCTTATGTTCCATCTCTTGACTAACAGGTTGGGGCTTGAAAAACTGAGTCCCTGAAAAGACGACAAAAAGCACAGGAAGCCTCCACAAGCGGCGTTGTTCCGTGGTCGCTCTGATAGACATGTGTGTGGTTAAATTCCCCTATGGGGCGGATAATCATCCCTCCCAACAGTCAAAGCAGAGATGAACGTCTCATCCTTGGACATCGGGCTGCTTCTTCGTCACCGGGGCCCAGGAAAATTTGCAAGGGCCTTTAATAAGAACCTTTCCTTGGTGGTCTAGATTAAGCGGCTGAAAACCATCTATACAAACAAAGGTGCTTTGATTATCCCCTGTTTTTTCTGTTGATTCCCACCAAACCAACCTTTACAAGGGCATCCTCAATAAACACAAAAACACACACACACACCACACAACACACACACACACACACAAAGGCAACACACACACAAAGGCAACACACACCTGCAACACACACACACACACACACACACTTGTTTCGGGTCAGAAGGAGCCTCTCCCAGCATGTGCTTTTCTTTCACGAAGCTCCGCGGCTTGGTGAGACTTCGCCACTCACTTGTGGGCTCTCCACCTCGGAGGCTTTTGGGCGGAAGCCTCTGAAAACGGCCTTGAGATTCCTCGGGGAAGTGTTCCCATCTTTTCAGGGATCCGTCGTTTTTGAGAAGCCGTCCAATGCCAAGCTTGGAAACAGCTGGTTTTGGAGCAGAGAAAAAATGAGGAGTTCCCGAAAAACACACACACACACACAAAATCAACCAAAGCAATTCACCGCGGATATGAATTGACTTACCCATCAGGATTAGATTCAGTTGCTTGCCAGCAAATAGAATCACCAGCGGCCCGTTTTCCTCAACCATACACATAAAACCATTGGCAACAAAAAACTGCTGTTTTGGCAGCCACGCTAAGCAAATCATAGCTCTACCCACAAACTATCACGCAGAAATGACAGGGAACTTTCATCATGGGTGGAAAAGGTTTTGGCTTTGCTCACCTCCCCCCCTCTGCACGAATCGATTGCGCAAAGCCGTTGCCACCCTAGTCTCCTGATGGATGGATAGCTTTGCCCCATTGCTCCAGGCGTCCTTCCTTGCAAAAAGTCATCAAACAGCTGAAGAACACACAGGCTTCTGAAAAGACATGTTGAACAAAAATGTTTTGCTCGCTCAACGGACCTCGAAAACCAAAAAACAAAAGGGCAGTTTGCAGTTGTTCAGTGATCCTGGTGGACAAGGGCTCAACTACTTGACCAACACGGGGAAACCAAAAGGTTGGATTTCGTGACAAAACATGGGAAGATTCCTGGGAAGAGCCCAGAAATCAACGAAAAGACTGGAGATCAACGCCTTGGAGTGAGAGTCACCACCCAGGTAACCGGGATGCACACCACTGGAAGTCTGAAACCAAAACCCCAACCACTTGGCTCACTGCTATTTCTATTGAAGCCCAGCGTCTTGTAACCCTGGTTGCAAATGGGACTGGGGAAGTTCCTTTCTCATATAACTTTAGAACCCAAGGAAAACACACCCCGAGTATCCAATTTCTGCTGGCATGATTCTAAGGCATGAGTGGCTTACATCTAAGACCAGGCGCTGGCGCCTCGCACGAAGAAATCCCCGGCGCTGGCAGCTGCCTGCAAAGCGCCAGGCTCAAGGGTCGAAATGATTTGTCTCCAAATAACTTGCTGGTTCTCAGCAGGGAATGAGGGAATGACCGCTATAAATCATCCCTCTTCTTGAGGAGACCGTTCATTCCCAAAACCTTAGGGAAGTGCAACAAATCGGGTCTCCCGTTGGATGCTCCTTCGTTTTCCCTTTCAAGCTTTGGGCTTCCCCCTGTTTGGTTGACACCGGAAGCCAAGAGCAAGCCAACCATTTTCGAGGGGTGGGCCGGCCAAAGGGTCCATAGAATTTCACACCCATATAGGTGTGTATTATGAAAAAAAGTGAGTTTCCTTGTGGTTTCCCCTTAAACTACTCCAAAAGGAGTACCCTCAAAAAAGCTACACCCACATAGGCTTTTCTCCAAATAGGCTGGAATCCTGAACCATTGGTGGGTGTTTCCAGCTTTGCATGAGTTTCTCTTCGCCTTTGCAAGTAGACAATGCACTTTGTCTCCAAATGGATGTGTATCTTCTGGGGTACCCCAACAAATTGTGGTCTTCCTGTTGGTTTCTGCCAGGTACCCTTAAAAAAGACACACTCAAATGGGTGTCTCTTTGTTAAGACTCTTTGTTGTAAGTGCATCCTCCCTTCCACTTCGCCATAGCACTTGGCTGGACCCTTGAAGAGACATTCGATTGTCTACGTACTCTCCCACAGGTGCTATGCTGCGTGGAGGGAGTTTGGACTGGTTGGTGCTCTTTTCATGGAAACCGAAGGGAATCCACCCGTTCTAAGGGCTCCCCTATATCGACACAAGCCCGGTGGGTTTGCCCTTGGTCTCCTTGGTGGCTCTGTTTCCCCAAGAAGGATTGCCCCCAAGACCCGATCACGAGGGTAGAACATCGGCCGGAACAGGCAAGCAAACGGAGACACGACCAATTTGTTACCCTTGTGGCTGGTCATCGCTCTGAGGTTCGGAGCCCTTCTTTTTTTAAGCACATGACCCACATCTGGAGTACATTTAGTACAAACGACATATTTAAGTCTACAGTCTACCAAAAAAAAGAACTTGGGGGAGACCCTACGAAGCGCATCCACAGGCTGCACCCAGTGCTCCCGATGGCTTCGTGTCAATCTGTGATACTGGTTCTCTTCGTTTCCTTTGGCTTCCCTTGGTTACCTGCAGTTTCCCTTGCTAGGTCCTCCAGTAGTCTATTTTAGTAGGGGAACCCTGGCTTCACGTAGCTGTACCCCCCCCCCCGAAAACCCCCCATGAGTCGCCTGTAGAAGATCTGGCGCCCCAGTAACGCGCCGCCAGCCAGGCCAAAGCCCGCGCCCAATGACGCTCCTGGGCAAGTCGGAAAGACAAAAACCAATCGGTGTGTCAGATGGCTATGGGTCAAAAATGCGTGCCCAAAATAGAGCCCTGGTAGATGGAACCAAAGACTAAAACCTGCGTTCCCCTGTACTTTGACCCATACCCAGATACACTACTCTAGAATCCCCAAAGTCGGGACCAAAGGAAAAGCTACGCCCCTACTCCAAATAAACGGTTTCTCTAAGTGTATATCTCGAGAAACCAAGTTTTCCATGCTATATGCCATGTCCAAGTCCTGTGCTTCAATGACCCTAAAAAGATAGGGTCATCGAGCCCCAAAATCGGGGGTCGTGACACCACAGATGAAGGGTCATGGACTTGCACAGCACGCCAAAGTGCTCTGTTTGGCTTACTCCGCGCTTACGTAGGTAATCGGGGATCTCCTCTTCATTTGCTTCGAAGTTCCATTGGTTGCCTACACGGGAACAAAGCCATGATCATAACTTGGCCCGACCTGAATGTATGCCAAAAGCAATATGTTCAGATTCTGCTTCATTTTTAGCCAACCCTAAGGATTGAAACTTCATTTTGTAGGAGACTGAAGCCCTACTCTCATAAATTGGGATGCACTCCAGTAGGTAACCCTTCGTCCTTGTCCATTTCGTCTTGAAAGAGTGGTTCCCTTGGTTACTGGAACCAAGTCACGGTCATAAGAGAATAGCGGTGTTTTCCAACTTAGACCCTTAAAATATTTAGCCGGCAAACTTCCAGTACGAGTACCTGACACATGTTTTTTACTCCCCTGCTCGAAATAGAACCCGGCAAATTGACGGCTCACACAGGAGTTGCCAAAGGGGCATATTTGGGGAGACCCACTTTTGAGGTTCCAAGTGAATTTGTAGGGGCTGTAACTAACAGGGAAACTCCAAGATCAGCGGATTCTTGATATGAATTTAGGCGAACTAGTATTCTCATCTGAATGACTCTGCCCCACTCGCGAAAGGGGGTGGTTTTTCGGGGAGTCTTCATGGATAAGCTCGTTTTACACCCCCAGGAGCTCGCTAATCACATCTTGTTCCCAAACATCATATGGGTGTGCTTGTTTGAGGCTCGGAAACTCAACAGGGAAAGAAACACAGCGAACCAGAAACCGGGACCCTTATTAACCCCAGTCCGGTAGGCGAGCGCAAACCCT